TGTTTGCTAATGATTGCTAGTAATCGAATGGGAACGACCAAACACAGTTATCGTGAAGCGAACGCCATGTTTTTTTTCCTGTTCTCCTGTCTGTCTGTCTTCTCCTTTTGTTTCGATATCTCGTTCAAGACACACGATATCTTTTCTCTGTTTTCTCTTTCTATTTTTCTTTTTTTCGTTTGTTCTTGTTCCTTTAAGCTGAAAGCTTCAGAGCTCGAGCTTCGACGAGCGGAAACATGTTGTACAGCTCTATTTCTTTCACTTTTCTCTCTTCCGTATCGTTTTATTTTTTTTCTCTGTTTTTTCTTGCTTTGTCGAGTTTGTTCAGACGCTAAGCATATATCGGAGGCTGGGTTTTAATTTGTTCCGAAAGCCTCGGTCGAAGGACACGCTACATATATATTTATTATATATATTTATATGATCGGTGTACGAAATCTAACCCGGATAAGGTAACCGGAATGGTGCACGCCAGGTATAACACACTTTCTTCGGGGAACATTTTTTTTGGTGAATTTTGGTATACACTGCAGCTTTATTATCTGAACCTTTAAATATCTCTCTCTATCTCTCTCTCTCTCTCTCTTTCTATCTATCTCTCTCTATCCGTCTCTATTTTCTCTAGAAACCGGAGAGTCCGGTCGACACTCGATCGTATCCCGATCAGTGACGCGATTGCTCGCCTGCTGTCCGTTCGATAAACAATTCTATTGCGGCGGCGTTTGATTAATCAGTACCGACGATGATCGCCGTTAAATTCGATTTTTCTTTCACTCGGATTCGCTATCTTATCTGACACGATTTCTATCGACGCGATATTAAAGATCTTCAACATTGTCTCTCGAAAGTGATTGCTGCTCGGATTATTTAGCTTTTTAATATCTCGCAATTAATATCTCGAGGATCGGTTAAAAGATGGTTGAGATTTTTGACTTTCAGAGACCGCTTCGAATTTTCTAGCTCGACTTTCGACGGACCGCGGGTCGATCAATCGCAGTTTCTTTATTTCTATCTTTCTCTCCCCTCTCTGTCACTCGAAGGTTTTCCGTTTCCTCAAAAACGAATTGCCAGTCAAGCGATCGCTTCCATGACGATGATCCTCGCTTCTAATTAGTGTTGTTTCGTTGACGCTAAAGGTAAGCCGATCAAGTCTCTCAAGTATCTCTTTCTTTCTTCTCTTTCTCACTGTCTCTACTTTCTTTCTATAATCTCCCGCCCTTTGTTTTCAAATATTTTTACCGCCCCGTTTAAACCAAGCTTTGCCAAACTTTCTCTCTTTCCTTCTGTCTCTCTCTCTCTCTCTCTCTCTCGCTCTCTTTTTTTTCTGGAAATGGTACACCTCAGCCTGACGTCGATCGACACAATTGGACAAGGGAGTTGAGTACTTCAGCGATTGTAATTTCCGACTCTCGTATACGTGCCGTCGCCGTAGCGGCGTCGGCCATCTTGTTATGTTTTGTTCACCGCACTCTGCGAGCCTCCTTTCGCCCCGCAAACTCTAATCGCTGATCGCATAAGCGAGCATTCGAGTGCTGCGTATCGACACCCGTTCTTTATCACGCATCTCACCGTTTTTTCTGGACGCCGAATTCTCAAACGCAGCTCGTCCGTTTCGGAGATCGGGAGACGCCATCTTGCGGGGCTCCCGTTGCAGGCGCCATCTTGTCGGGCGTCGGTAGCACCGTTCTCACGAAACTTCTCTTTCTTTCCCATCTCGGCAGAGCTTTCGCTCCGATTCTTTCTTTGTTTCTTGACTCTCACTTACATCCTTTTCTTTACTTTTTCTATTCTCGCTCTCTCTTTTTCTCTCTTTCTCTCTCTCTCTCTCCACGCCGTAATTTTGGCTGCCTGACCACGCGAAATCTCGTCGCCGCTCAGCTACTCGAGAATTTTTGCACTTTTCGTTTACTCTACAGATCTTCCGCTGATACATTCTCTCCTTTATTCTTCTGAATCTTCTTCTTGGTCGAACGATTCAGCCGTCTCTCCCAGAAAAAGTTCGGTGAACCTCAACGATCACGGGTTGCTCGACTTTTGGGGATCTCTCGACGAAGAAAAGCCTCTTCTTTCCGCAACCCACGCCATCGTATTCCCTGAACCGCCCGTTTTGACACACACACAGCATAAAACGACCCCGATATTCGACAGTGTTCACACGAAGGAAAGAGATATAAACACAAGCAAGGACGTTCGTAGAAGAACCAGACGATGCAGAATAGCTCGACGTTTTGTTCTTGCTCCACGGAGAATGGTGTCTTTGCTCAAGTTTAATAGTTCAACTGGTAGACCTCGAGTTTCGTCGACGGCGCGACTGTTCGGTCCTTAATACCGTTACTCAAACTGGAAAATTCATTTTCCGCATTTCAACGCTACTGTCAAAACTACTGTAACATCTAAATATCAAAACAACCTTTACAATTACAGTAGAATAAACATCAAATATAGGAAAGAGTTTGATTCTCTAATTCATCTAAACTACAAATCTTATTATTTTCCTCGTACAAGTAACAATACGTTTTTCTTTCGCACTTAATCTTCGTATCTCTAAATTAACACCGTCACCGTTAGAGCAGAGTCGACTGCAAGTCGCCTCGTCGACGAATCTCGCTTTTCTAGTCGAGTTCCGATTCAGTTCTGTACATATTGTATACATAGTTGCCGATAGTCGTGTGTTTACATATATTTATACTGTTCGTAAAACCATATTGATTACTATTACTGTGTACTTACTACTATGGTCCTAGCCGTTATAGTAATCGGTACCGATTCATGGTCCAACATAGTTCACCAGTGAATCACCAGCGACAGACTCCGTATTCTCATCGAAACGATCCAGCCCCATGCTCTCCACACCCCTCACTCTTCGCCACCGTTTCACCCTTTTTTTATCGTTGTTTGCGACTTTACATCATCACCACCCTGTCGTTTTCATTCTCTTTTTACTATTGTTACGCCGTCACGACCACAATGCCAGCATTTTATATCGTTACATTATTATTACTATTAGCAATGAACTTTTACTACTACCCTGTTCTATCTATACTCTTGTTTTCTCTCCTCTTTACATCATACTATCGTCACAGCTGTCGCTGCTACCTTACGTAATATTTATACTGTTACCGTTTTTACGTACTGTTCTACCTCTATACTTACTATATATAGTTTTGCGTTTCTGTCACTTATATCGCCACGACACATCCACCGCCCGAGGACAAACATGTACGCGCCGTGTGCAACCGTGTCTACATGTTTGTGGCCGCTGAAGGGAGATTGAAACTGTCTTGGCACCTTTCTCACGAATCTTTTTAGGCGTGGCGAACGCCACCTCTTCGCAGTTTCTTTTTTTCTTTCTCTCGTTCTCTCTTCATTCTTTACAGTCCTGTCACGATTTTATTCTGTAATGCGCTGCCTACCGCCGCTGCCTTCTACCACCTCTGCGAACTGGCAGCTTTCTTAACGGGTACCGAAGCGACCAAGCGATACGAACGATCTCTATATTTCACTTTTCTCTCTCTCTCACTTTCTCTATCCTTCTTTTTCTCTTTCTCTCTCTATCTCTCTCTCTCTCTCTTTCTCTCTATCTTTCTCTCTTCGACTCTGTACTTCTTGTTCCCTGTCCGAGACAAGTTTTGTCTAATTGCTAACGCGGGAAATCGAATGGGACTATGGATCTCAGTTTGTGCATATTGTTATGGGAGGTGTAAAAGGGCCAGTACACGTTACGATTCGTCGTTTCCCAAGTTCTTGTTAGAAGAACCGATAGTTAACGGTTATTCGAAGCTTGTCCCTAGGCTTGAATTATTTGGAGCACGTGAGGATATTAAGAGAATATTTTCTAGCAATTGTGATCTCATCCGTTTCCGATTTTTCTTCTCTCTTCGGGAGAGAAATGATATTGGATCTCTCCGTAGAAATTTTACAACTCCTAATTCTACTCTTTCAAACTGTATAACACAGTTCAAGTTGAGAATACAATAACTCACGACAAAGCCGTGCTGCGGTCAAAACACGATCGAACCGATAGTCTTGCAGAGAGTTGCGCAACTGCAACGATGAATCGTGATGTGTACAAGCACCTTAAGGTTTCCTGCGTCCACCTGATGCAACGGCGAAGCATGTGCTTCGACCGAACGTTCAGCATCGAAGGAAATGCGCCAACAATGACAAATCGATAGAGCAACAACGCGTCCGTCGGCTCAAACGTTTCACCGAACATTCCCCTCGTCGTTGTGCTCCAGTATCCGTCGCCATTTTCAACGAGTAGACCAAAGGGAAAATGGCGAATGAACTGGCTCGCTCGACAGACGAGGATTTCCGAGAAGATCAGTTTCGAGCGGCATGTTTCCCGGTGCATCAGTGGACGACCGCTTAACAATACTAACAGAAATGATGCTTCAATGGTATCCAGACTGCACGAAGTAAAGCGAAGTCTTGAAATGCTCGGCGACCCGTCCTCGCCGCGATGCCTCCGTGGGTCGCGAACGATCCGACCGAGGAACATCGTCGAGCATTGGCTAATGCAACGGAGCAATTGAGGCTAATCATCTGGCGATGGCTAAAAAGCGGTGGCAAGGGGACGCATATTGGTGGTGGTCCTTTGTGTGGCCGCTTTCGACGCCGTACGGACGACTTGACGTCGTCTCTGGCGACTGGTCCCTCTGACGCCGACGATCTTTCCAAAATTTATCCGCGATCAGCATCGTATTTATCGGATTTCCGCAATGAAAAGTCATTGAACTTCAAGTATTCACGAAACTACCGTGACATTCTACTATTCCGAGCTCGAAACGTCCAATTTCTCGATGCGAACAGAGGGACCGACGTCACCAGTAACCAGCAGAGAGCACGCTGCACGGCGTACCGCCATTTTTTCGGTTCTCACTATGACAGTGCTGTCACCCGAAGGAACTGGGAGTGAAGGGAAGGCGGCAACGGAGAAAGAGGATAAAATCGATCGCCCATTCTCGTTGACACGGTCGCGACGAACATATTTCGGTCAGTCGAGGTCTCTCGAGCCTGCTTCCCGCCATTTTGTCGGACTAGCAGCGGCCATCTTGCCGCTTGACCGCTTCGCTGCGAAATACGCGATTTTACTCGGGAAACAAGTAACAAGGATGAAACAAATAATCTTTATACCACTGCCAATCAAAATTTTAAATTTCAAATGGAATTACACTGAATCTGCTTCGAAATTTGGTCATAATTCTCTTTTATTAAAGAAGGGGCTCTCGAGGAAGGCTCAAACAATGACGAACTATGTTTGCTAATGAAGTTTCTGTTACAAATACGTTGCATACAACTATTTAGTAGATCAAACCTTGAAGGGGCACTTGAATTCCGTTAGCAAAAGATCATTCGAGAAGGAAAAAGGAAGCTCTTTCTCCGCGGCGGCCGAGCAAGATGCGTTTTACATGGACCGTGCGCGACGGTCTCACGACGCGTCCCCTTTTTGTCTCTCTCGCTACCGCCCGTGTACAATCACATGATGTCTTGTACACGAGGACAATCCTAATTGTAAATATGCCTACATGTATAACGTATGTATCTATATATACTTGTACGGTGTACGGGGTGCTTGGCACACATTCTAATCAATGGTGGATGGCAGGTGCCGGCCATCTCGCTAGCTTACGAGGCACCGGAGTCGGACATTATGAAACGGCAGCCCCGCGATCCTTACAGAGACAATCTTGTCAACCGAAGGTGGGTCTCCCAACTACCCACCAGAGAAACCAGCTCCTCAGACTCCAAAATACAAACACAGACAGCGACACGAACACAGACACACACGCATACACACGTAACGCGGGCGGCCAAACACGTATAGCTTCTCGATTAACACTTTCCTCGGCTTTCGACGGGACGTTTCGTCCACTGACAAGACGCGATCGGTCGAACGATTCTAAGAGAAAGTAACAATACCGTGAACAAACACGGTTCCCTTGTTACATTCTCGGTAAGACTGTTGGTTTCGCTGTAAATTTGAAATAATGCATAGATTGACACAAGATACTTTAAACAGATGGAATTGTGTGGCTTTCGACGAAACGAGAAAGTGTTAACTTCGCGGTGAAATTTTGAGTTGTTTCGTTTGGGAATATTTGAACCGAGTGTTCTACTCGGATTTTTGAATCGAGATTCTTTGGGTAGTTTGAATGGGATAAACTTGGATGTTACTTTATACGTGAATTAGGAACGTTGAACTTGCTACAGAAACATAATTCTTCCGATTTATTGAATATATAATTAATTTCGTTAATTTCAAGTTTGGCCACCCGACCGCACACCCAACCTGAGCATATGTATGTCGTACACGCATATGTATGCGCACACTGGTTGTTACACGAGAAATGTATTGAAAAAAAAAGAAAAAAAAAGAAACAGAGTGTCTACTGATGTCCGAGCCGTGTATACGTTTGTTTTTTTTACATACTGGAACATACAGATCTCTCTCGTTGTTCGTTGGTTATACTTCGCTTGACATTTGTTTTTCTTTTCATGCACGCGACTACGAAAGTGTCTTTTTTTGATCGTTCTAATTGTGCGCACTTTCATCTGCACTTCGAGTACTTCTAGCCGAAACGATGAAAAATAAAAAAGAGGAAAAGAATGTATACGTAGAAACGAAACAAAAATTGAACAATTCGCTTCAGTCGTCCGCCGGAACTCGTCGACGAACGACTCGAAATTCGACGCGAACGAATCGCTGGATAGAAAAAAAAGCAAAGCAAAAGAACAAGTAGAAACGAATAGGCATTCGACCGGTATAACACGATAGAATAAAAAAAAAATGGCAGTTGACTTTCCAGCGAGCCGAGGTATCGCGCGTGTGAGAGATTTGTCGTTTTCGATACGGGACGACGCGATGAAAAGTTCACGAAAGTCTCGGTTGACACTCTACGATCTACGGAGTCGGTGTAACACGACTCCAGGATAACCCATAGTTGATTTAGAAATAGCACAGCAAGTAACCTCATAGGAGAGTGACGTTGTTGGGAATGCCGAATGCTTCACATAGAAAATCTCTCGCGCGACGACTAACGTATACGGAGCGTCCGTTCGCTCCGTGACCGTTGGAACGCCGATTCAGGGGGCGAGAGGAATGGTAAACGATTCTATAAACGTGACCACGTGAACGCAGATTTAACGAGCTAGATCCTTTTACTCGACGATCCGCCGATAAATGGAACACCGGGGAGCCTAAAAATATCTGTAAGCTTCTCGTAAATTTGCATTTAATTTACATTATTTCCGTAAATAACCTACAAACGTCAATTCACGTGGAACATGCAAGTCCAGTCACGAAACGGGGGGCGGGAACTTTCCAGCAACACGCTATCGTATCAACGCTAGAGCAATCACTGACTTGTTCATAAATTGTGAAAACTAGCGGAGGATATTTCTTCAAATTTGATTAAAGCAACTCAACGATTCAGAGCTCTAGCGTTGACGACGTTCATGAACAATTGAACGATCTTCGAACAGTTAAGATCTCGATGCTCTTATCTCGTTAAACGATCGTTCCCGAGGTCACGTGTCCACGGAATCATTTCCCCTTCGTCTGGCCGCCGAATTCAGTCCTCCAACAAGGTCAAGGAGTCGCCGGCCACTCTTATATCGCCAGGCCTCTAACGACATCATCTCGTGATCAGCTTGAACACGGTCTCCGTGCGCGCGACGATTAACCCGCTTTAAACACCGAAGGTAATGCGTATGCGAGGAACGGGTGAACGGCAAGGTAGCAATTACCCTCGGGTTCGAAGTAACACACGTTGGATTAGAGGCTCGTTAGATGAAAAAAAAAGAGAAAAAAAAGAACGCAACACGAAAAAATAAACGAAAGTAACAGCAAAACGGAGCAAGCTTGTACAAACCCGAGACCATGCACGGCCTGAGCAACGTTTCAGCAATTAACCGATCGATTAACCCATCGATTAACCACGACAGACGAGCCGAAATACCGTCGGTCGCTGAGAACCGACACGCTCCGCACGCTCGACCCGCCATCTTGTCGGGCACGAAGCGGCCGGCCGACAGCCGGCGCCATGTTTGTTTTTCTCCGCCCGTCTCCATATCTTGTTTCATCCCTCTCGTCTGATCCGTCGAGAATTCTGTCTTTCCGCTGCAGATTGTGGTTGATCCGATCTAACCGACCCCGCGAGCTGATTTGATCGACGACACGCGGCCGCTCGCATGATCGCGGCCGCTCGGAGAGCTGATCCCGCCGGATCCGCGATCGACGTCCCTAATTCAATCGGATTGCCTTTCGACCAGCAACAGAAAGCTACTCTTTCTGCTCTTTTGTTTTGATCATCGAAGTGGAAGATTCTAGCGAAGCATCGAAGCTACCGATCTTTCGAAAAGGCACGAGAATTCCTTTGCGAACTGTTACATAGTTATTTCTATGAATCCTGCCAGATGTTTCTCGGGAACTATATTTGCATGAAACTGCAGAATCTTTTAGAGATCCCAACTCTTCCAATGAAAAACAGTTTTAAAATCGAACGACTTATTTAAGAGCTTCGAAACTAGAGTCTTCCCTCGTCCACTTCGAGCTATGGTCGAACAATGAAGAAACGTTAATCTCGAGGACCTCTCGATCGATCGGCGCGATCCGTTGCGCCGTCAGCTCCCGAGAAACTTACCATTTCACGTTGTTTGCAAACAGCTGGCCTGCTTCTCTGTTCGAGTCGGTGCCGCCTCGTCTCACGGTTCGACGGGGAGCTTGCATGCCGAAAGCTCTGTTGCCTGTGCACCGTGAGGCTCGGCGGCCGCCACGTCTGTCTTGTGCCTCGTGCTTCTGTGTTGGCATGCCTGAGCGCGAAAGACCGATCGTTAACTGCGTATCCGATCCGGTAAGTAATTCGCAATTAATCCGGACTACGGCTTCCATATTAACACCACCTTAGGCAAATTAGGAGCGAACTTAACTGGTACCAACGTACACGAGTGCTTCGTTCAATCTCCAACGAACTTCTTCCTCCTCGACCGGATTGTCCTTTAAGTTTCGAGTGTTTCCTTTGGAACTGTTTTTAATCCTTCGAACAATTGTTCCTTTCGTTGATTGTCCTTTGTACTAGTTTTATATGTACAAACTATTGCTTCTTTTTTTTATTGATTGGAGGAATTACTCTTTTTTTCTGTCTTTTGGTTGGGTTGTTTTGTAAGTTCCTTTTCGGTGAAGTTCTTTGGTGGTTGGATACTAATTGCAGTGCCTCGTTGGACGTCGCTGAGCTATGCTTAACACGGTTCTCTATGTCTAGGCTTATTTCGATGGCGTACGGTCAGATCGGTATGATCCAAGCGGCCGCCGGTTTCTTCGTGTACTTTGTGATCATGGCTGAGAACGGGTTCCTGCCTCTGCATCTTTTCGGTATCCGAAAAATGTGGGACTCCAAGGCTATCAATGATCTCCGCGACAGCTACGGACAGGAATGGGTGAGCGACTTTTTTCCCGAACGAACGAAGTTCGTTTGCTTCGCTTGATAATCGATTCGAATATTATTCGGTTCGTATTAATCGAAGGAAAGGAATATCTTAGAGTCTGCCTATGATTTGTAACTGGAAACATTAACACTTTGACTGCCACAATTCTCCCGAATTTGGACACTATTTTCCTTAACTTGAACATTCATTTTGCTGACTTATCAAACGTTTAAGATACAAGAAGGAAAGTAAAGTTAGTGTTACAAAGGATTTTTTTGTTTAGCAGTTATTGATATCTTCGAAGCATCGAATATTCGAAATGATTTTGAAAATAAATAGTTTCATTTGAGTACTATAATGAATGCCCGAAGAAACTGAAAATAATCTGTTGTTACAATTTTAATAGGAATTGCACATTAATCGTATTAAATGCTCGGTGGTTCTAGTGTTAGAATATACTCTACGAAGGAGACGTTTTTCCAACTAAATTCCACAGTTGACTGGTTAAGAGAACTGCTTCGACGAGTGTCTTGGCAGTCAAAGTGTCGAAGTAACCGATACCGTAATCGTATAATGAAAAGTCACGACGACGCTGACGGTTGTTTCTGAAATTCGTGCAGACATACAGGGATCGCAAGACGCTGGAGTTCACCTGCCACACGGCCTTCTTCGTCTCGATCGTAATCGTACAGTGGGCCGACTTGATCGTATGTAAGACGCGACGTAACTCCATCTTCCACCAGGGAATGAAAAACTGGGCCCTGAACTTCGGTCTGGTGTTCGAGACCGCCCTCGCCGCGTTCCTAAGCTACACGCCCGGCATGGACAAAGGTCTCCGCATGTTCCCTCTCAAGTAAGTCGTGTAACCTCTTCTTTACCGCCATATAAAACATCTTCGAAGCATCTAGTTTAATCATGAAGTATATTAAACATTTTTCAAGATAAAATTCTAATAACATATTTCTATAGTTCCGAATCGATCTCTATTCCCAGCAAGATTAACGTCAAAGATAAAATTAATTCATGCGTCTTTCCAACTAATTTCCCTTGTATCTAGTAGATTTCTATAGATCCGAATTAATCTCTATTCCCAACAAGATCAACGGCGGATATTTCTACCGATAAATTTCCCTTGACGATCGATTTCCGTTGTTTTCCAGATTCGTCTGGTGGCTGCCCGCCCTCCCCTTCATGTTCGCCATCTTCATCTACGACGAGACGAGACGATTCTACCTCCGCCGGAATCCGGGTGGCTGGCTCGAGCAAGAAACTTACTACTAGACGCAAAACGGAGAATTAATCATACACGCAGAGCGCGCGCGCAAGAGTAAGAGCGAGAGATTGCAGAGAGAATGATGACGAGAGAGAATGTGAGACGCATACCCACGCAGATATACAACGTGAACTAAA